GACCAAACCGCTATGGCCCGTGAGTGTCTGCAGACACGCGCCGCTACTCGCATCCCACACCTTGACGGTGCTGTCGCCTGACGCCGATGCCAGCTTGGTCGAGTCGTGCGAGAAGGCTACAGAGCTGACCCAACTGCTATGGCCCGTGAGCGTCTGCAGACATGCGCCGCTGCTCGCATCCCACACCTTGATGGTCTCGTCCCTTGACGCCGACGCCAGCTTGGTCGAGTCGTGCGAGAAGGCTATAGAGCTGACATCGCTGCTATGGCCCGTGAGCGTCTGCAGACATGCGCCGCTACTTGCATCCCACACCTTGACGGTGCTGTCGCCTGACGCCGACGCTAGCTTGGTCGAGTCGTGCGAGAAGGCTATAGAGCTGACCCAATTGCTATGGCCTTCGAACGTCTGTAAACAAGCACTCCAGCCGGCGCTCATTCCTGGCCTGACGGCAATTCCGTTCGGCTCTTCGTGCTCGAACAATCGTCTGATTACGCTCCCCGTCGGACTGAACAACAGCGCAGATGCATACGTTTGCAAAGGATAGTTTTCAATTACCCCTTTGTGATACATGATGAATCGGCCAGCATCTTGAACAAGCTTAACAAGCTCGTCACTGTCCTTCATCTCCTGGTAGAGTCAGCATCTACATGACTACACAATGCAGGCACATTGTCTTTCCATGCCATACCTGGACCAGAGAGCATAGTCTCGCCATCGACACTAAACCTTTTCCCATGCTTCTGCACAGACTGAGCCCTTCTAGCCAGTGTAGATAGTTTTTCCTTATAAACTCATCGATGATGCCGGCGACTTTCAGGCCACCGACACCGTCAGCCCAAGGCTTCGAGTCATACAGATGATCGATCCAGTAGATGCACGAGTAGCGTGAGGCTGCAAGCGGGTCTGGCTCGGGCGGCTGGACGTCTTCGATAGCAAATCCTAACGCTTCCAGGCTGTACATATCCCTTTGCAGTGTCCGCGACAGAATCGCGAGCGACCTCGAGAAGATCACGTTGTGAACTGCTTTACCCCCATGCGGAAAGATCTCGTCATATGCCTTTGCAAAGAGGAAGTCTTGTGCGGACTGATGTACAAAGTAGATTGTGTCTTCTCGCAAAGTGAGGAACGATCCACAAAGGCCAATGATCTCCCATACCTCTGCTTCATCGGCCATGTCTTCGAGTGGCTCAGCAAGGGCCACCAGCTCCTGCAGCGTGATTGGCCGATACGCCAGCGCGATCAAAGCCAGCACCTGCTTGCAAAGTGTAGCGTCGTCCGACAAACTGATCTGACGCATCATCCGCTCGTACAGCGCGTTCAGACCTGGCGGGAATGAGTGCAGCTTGTTCAGCACGTTCCGTCTTGCCGTCGCTTGAAGCTCCTGACATACTAACGCTACCCAGAGGAAGGTGCCATCTGCACTCGATGTCAAACACTCCAACACCGCGTCTTGCGTCTGCTGGTCGTACTTCTTCTGCCGTGCCAGTTGAGACACATTGTGCTGGATGAAGGCGCCGACGGCCGCCGATACAGACTCTGCGTTCAGCTCGAGGCTCAACTTGACCTTGTGCCAGGCTTGCTCCAGCTGCTCTTCAATCTCTGGCCAGTTGCGGCTAGACATGATCCACTTGACACGGGAAGACGCAGAAGACTGCTTTGCGATGAAGTGAAGCAGTTTCGACAGATCAGTGACGCACTCGTCTAGCGCATCGATGATCAGGTATGTAGTTCTTAGCTGTGAGTCTCGTATTATGTCCGCGAAGATCTCCGTCAGGGCGACCCAGGCATTTGCATCCTCGAACAAGGCTTTGCCTGCGTGATCATACTTCTTGCGGATGTGCGATACAAGCGACGGTTGCTGGCTCACGAGCATGTACAACAGCCCCCGCAGCACAGCCGTGGCGTTGTTGATGCGTAAGTCAGTTGCTTGGCAGAAGAAGTATGCTAGAAGGGCAGTCTTAGGCAGTGAGCTTTGCAGCTCGTCTATGATGCCGCAGAGCAGCATCGTCTTCCCCTTTCCAGGATCACCCTTCACCCACAGCAGTCGGCTGTGCGGGTCCCGCTGCCATTGCTGGAAAGTGGCATTATCGAGAACCCAGCGGTAGGAGTCAGCTAGCAGCTCGCCTTTAGTCTCCTCGATGCGCTTCTTGTCGTCACGCGGATCCGTGCTGTGTATGTCTTGGACACATCTTTTTGAATTGTCGATCTCGTCCATCAGGCGTCTAAACGCACTTGCCGCCCCTTCGCTATAAGCCGGCGCTATCTCGACATCAAAGATACCTGATAGTGAGTACCATCCGTCTTCTTCGCGCTTGGTCTCCCTGTCACCTTTCCACCGCAGCCGCTCGTCGACGCTGAACTGGGAAAGAGGAGCTCCGTCGAGCGCTTTGAGTGAGATACTGGTGATTTTGTAGATCAATGATTTGAGCGATATCTTATCACCAAGCTTCTCCCACTCTTGAGAGAAAAACTCGACTATGCTGGGGGCAAGCAGCTCTTGAAGCGTCCAACCACGCGTGAACCATCGGCTTGACCTGAAAGCAGGCTCCCAAGTGAATTTGCCGAGCATCTCGTCCAATCTTCTCTCCCTTGTCGATACGTCCGATAAATACACATAGCATTTTGTCGCGTTCTGGTACCAGCGAAACATGGATCGGATAGCATGAGAGTGCTCAGCCTTGTCCGTCTTATCGATGCAGCATGTGTCGACCCAGAAGTATTGTAAGCCATCTTGTTGTGCTTGTTGTCCGCAGAAGCGAATCTTCTTGTACCCACGCTTGGCCTTGCCGTCGCCTGTCACTAGGTCTGAGAAAGTAAACTCCTCCGCATTTACTCCCCACGTGTGTGAAAGTATTGCATAAGGTGGTATCGCAGAATCGTCAAAGCTGATGATGCCGAGCTCGCCACGTTCGTCATACTTTAAAAGACGCATCGATTCGTGTGGATGTGTAGTGGGCGCATGGGGGGGGGGGAAGGAGACGCTAGAGGCTCAGCAGCTGGCTCTCGCATGCAATCTAGGACGAGCGTAGGTAGAAGAGAACGAGTGGCTGTAAAGCCCCAGGTAGCTGTACGATGGAACAGCGATCTAAGTGTTGCAGGCTGAAGCTGGTGTTCTGCGCCATGTTCTTGTTTCTGTGAGGACGTTCGAACGGGCTTGAGGCGGGGGCAGACGCGGCTGATTGTGCTCATGCAGAGGTGCAGCACAACCCCAACAAATCACACTTTCGCGATGCCACGCCCCCATTGCGATGCACTTTTCACCATTCAGCATCTACACACTCGACTGAACTTGTCATTACAGTTGTGGGGTGGCCGGCTGTGGACGGCGAAGAGCCACGTTGAGGCGTCTCCAGGCAACGCAGCTCAGTACTGGGAATGAGGCCACGGATGCAGCAACGAGGCTGAGCCATCTTTCGGAGACACTTTCTAGAAAACGCCAGGCTGATAGACTGGAGGAGAGTTGGCTGAAGAACAGTACATGTCAATCACAGGTCTGTAAATCTGCCAACACGAGACTCCGAAGATCCGCAGTGCGAACCTGTCTCGTTACACCGTGCATCCCGGCACGTAGGGACGGACATTAAGCCTATGAGGACTGATTGAGTAGTGATTGACCACATGGTGACTATGAGCAGTTCACTTCAGATTCAGACAACAATGACAATCCTTGCTTTTCTATACGGGAACCTCTACATTATACCGTTGGACTGTCCAAGACAGCAGCAATAGCAGTGATCAGGCTGAAGCCAGAGCCTGTCAGCAGGCAGCTCAGCGGAAGCGCCAGCCCAGCCGTGACAAACCAGCCTCGAGAGCCCAGCTCGTGCACGAGAGCTGCTGCTCTCGACACTGCACAGCCTGGTCGCTGGCATGTACAATGGCCTTCTCCAGCATTGCCACCACGTTCGCAGGCCCCGGAAACCAAGGGCTGCAGGTTGGGTACAACTCTGGCTCTATCCACATTGCTGCCACTGGCAAGTGCCCATCCCCGCTCCGACCAACGCTGCGCTAACCACGCTGTGTCCCTGCAGAGCGACCCGAGACCCCACCGCAGCCCTCGTGCTTCGTGCCGTTCCGGCGCGACCCAGACTTTGTCGACCGCGCAGTGCGGCTGCTCGACCAGATCCGCGAGCGGTGCTCAGCGCCAGCATCGCGAGTCGCGCTGGTGGGCCTTGGCGGTGTGGGGTGAGTTAAAGCAGAAGACCCTTGTGTTAGTGCTTGCATGTAACATAGCCACAGAAAGTCGCAGCTAGCCATCGAGCACTGCTACCGCACCGCCGAGCGGTCCGCGGAGACGTGGGTGCTGTGGGTGCACGCCAGCAACGCGGCGCGACTGGAGCAGAGCTACCGAGAGATCGCAGAGCTGGTCAAGGTCCGCGGTCGTAAGGACCCGCGAGCAGATGTGTTCAAGCTGGTGCACGACTGGCTGCGTGACGAGAAGAATGGGCCGTGGCTTCTTGTCCTCGACAACGCCGACGATGCTGTTGTTCTTTCTCCGCGACTGAGCAATAGCCAGAGGTCGCAGGCAGGCGATGGCAGCAATGCTATCGACGGCAACAGCGGTGCTCTCCGGCAGCACTTGTCGAGGTCCCTGCCTCCAAGCAGACACGGCTCGGTGCTCGTGACGAGCCGGACAAGGCGCGCGGCAATGGAGGTCGTTGAAGACAGCGACGTTATACCGATCGAGCCGATGGACGATGCAGCTGCACATACTCTGCTTCGCAAGAAGCTGGGAGACGAGGGCGACAAGCGTGGCAGGGACGACGGTATTACTGAGCTAGCGGCTGCCCTAGACCACATGCCGCTCGCTCTTGTGCAGGCAGCGGCATACATTCGACAGCGGGCGCCGCGATGCTCAGTGCAGCAGTACCTGGAGGAGTACCGGCAGAGTGACAGCAGAAAAACGAGCCTGCTGAACCAGGGGGCCGGTCATCTGCGCCGCGACAAAGCAGCCAGCAATGCAATCCTTACAACATGGCAGATCTCCTTCGACCACGTACGACGCAGCAGACCATCGGCAGCAGACCTGCTGTCGCTGATGAGCTTCTTCGACCGACAGGGAATACCTGAAGCTCTGCTCCGCAGCCCGAGCGGCTCAGTGAACGATGACGACTTTGAAGATGACGTTCTCGCGCTGCGAGACTACTCGTTCGTCACAGCTACTACAGACGACACGACGCTTGAGATGCACAGCTTGGTGCAGCTGGCGACGCGCAAGTGGCTGGAAAGCCAGAAACAGCTCGACAAGTGGAGGGAGCAGTTCATCTCCAACCTGTGCGCAGAGTTGCCTACAGGGGAGCACAAGAACTGGGAGAGGTGTCAGGCGCTGTTCCCGCACGCGAGGGCGGCGTTGGCACAGCGGCCTACGAGTCAGAAGTCACTCGAGGAGTGGGCGCTGTTGCTGTACAAAGCGGCATGGTACGCCTGGCAAAGAGGAAGAGCAGGCGAGGTAGAGCAGATGTCGGTGATGTCGATGGAGGTCAGAAAGGAGGTGCTTGGCAAGGAGAGTGAAGATGCGCTGAGCAGCATGGGAATGGTAGGGCTGGCAATGAGCCTTATGGGCAAGTACGAGGAGGCGGAAGCAATGCACAGGCAGACGCTGGCGACAAGAGAGAAAGCGCTGGGTCATGAGCATCCTTCTACGCTGGCGAGCATGAACAACTTGGCGCTGGTGCTGAGAAGGCAGGGCAAGTACGAGGAAGCAGAAGCGATGCACAGGCAGACGCTGGTGACAAGAGAGAAAGCGCTGGGGCATGAGCATCCCTCCACGCTGACGAGCATGAACAACTTGGCGCTGGTGCTGGACAGTCAGGGC